AAATATATAATTTGTAAAGTTTTTTTATTTTTTTAAAGTACATTCACAGCTACATTATGTTAAGTTTTTCTGATGATGAATAGTTTAAGCTGCTTCTGCTCCTTTAACCTCGTCAATCATTTTCTGTTTACAGAGCTAAGAAAGTTTAAGTTTTCGTTGCTCCTACTTGGAAAAAATCGAATTCGTAGCCAAGGCAGACAGCTGATATACAAAGCTGTAAATCGCCACTACTTTTGGTGAAATTTGCAAACAAAATTGTTGGGCGTAACTCCAGAGTACCGATTTTTTGCCTTAAAATGTTATTTTTTGAACATTTTGTTCTTAAAACTTGGCCAAAAAAATGGTTCAGAGGCAGGAAACAAACTTTTTTATAAAGCTGACAACCAAACTAGTAACCCCAATCACTTTTTGGAAGATTTTGAAAAACTATTTTTTTTGACAATTTTTCGCATTTTTTGTAAGGGGTTACATCACGTTTTTTTTGGTGTAAAATAAAATAAAAAATACTATTTTATCTGTAAATGCAACTTTGTTGGAAATTTAATTACGAGTTCATTGATGTATAAAACTCTAAATTTGGTCCATTTTTTCCTCAATGGAAAAATGGTATCTTTTGGGAGAAAAATAAAAATTATGACTTTAAACCTGAAAAGAGATTTTCAAAGTTATAGCTCTACTTTCCAAATAAATCTTTAAAAAAATCAAAAAGAACTTTTAAACACAAGTAATTATAACCCTTAACTGTCTTAATTACTTACTTAATTTCAGCTTGCCATGGACGACTTGGCTGGTGCCGAGGAACAGCTGCGGGAGCGCGAAGAAGCTCTTCAGGCTGTGAAGGATCAGTACGACAAGGCTGTGGGCGAGAAGCAAAGACTAACAGATGCGGCCAATGTATGCCTGCGGAAGATGACGGCGGCAACGGCTTTGATAAACGGTTTGTCGGATGAGAAACACCGATGGACCAACCAGAGCAAGGAGTTCAAGATACAGTTGGGCAAACTGGTGGGCGATGTCCTTTTGGCCACCGGATTTCTATCCTATTGCGGACCTTATAACCAAGAATTCCGGGCGAATCTCATTAAGACCTGGATGGGTATACTTAAGCAGAAGAATATACCCTTCACCACTGGACTTAATATAATCAACATGCTGGTGGACTCATCGACGGTGTCGGAATGGACTTTACAGGGATTGCCCAACGATGAGTTGTCGGTGCAGAATGCCTTGATAGCCACCAAGTCCAGCAGTTATCCTTTGCTGGTGGATCCGCAGACGCAGGGAAAGATATGGATCAAGTGCAAGGAGGACCGTAATGAGCTGCAAATCACCTCCTTGAACCACAAGTACTTCCGCACCCATCTCGAGGACTCTCTCTCCCTGGGCAGGCCATTACTGATTGAGGATGTGGGCATTGACCTGGATCCGGTCATCGACAATGTGCTGGAGAAGAACTTCATCAAGTCGGGCAGCATAGAGAAGGTGCTGGTGGGCGACAAAGAGTGCGATGTGATGCCGGGCTTCATGCTCTACATCACCACAAAGTTGCCTAATCCAGCCTTCAGCCCAGAGGTCAGTGCCAAGACCTCAATCATTGACTTTACGGTCACCATGCGGGGATTGGAGGATCAGCTTTTGGGACGCGTGATCCTCATGGAGAAGTCTGATCTGGAGGCCGAGCGGGTGGCACTCTTCGAAACCGTCATGCAGAACCAAAGGAATATGAAGGAGCTGGAGGCCAACCTACTGCTCCGTTTGAGCTCATCCCAGGGTTCCCTGGTGGATGACGAGGCCCTGATTGAAGTGCTGCGAGTCACAAAAACCACCGCAGAGGAGGTCAACCAAAAACTAAAGATCTCTGAGGTCACAGAGCGTAAGATTATGAAGGCCCGCGAGGAGTTCCGAGCAGTGGCCAAGCGTGGATCGATTCTTTACTTCTTGATTGTGGAAATGAGCAATGTGAATGCCATGTACCAGAACTCGCTCAAACAGTTTCTGGTGATCTTCAACCACTCCATCACCAAGTCAACCAAATCCAGTGTCACCGAAGAGCGAATAAATATTATTTTGAGATATTTAACCTATGAAGTTTACAAGTTTACCAATCGCAGCTTGTATGAGCGACACAAGCAGTTGTTTACTTTGATGCTGGCCATCAAGATTGATTACCATAATGGAAACATCAGCCACGAGGAGTTCTTGACCTTCATCAAAGGTGGTGCCTCGTTGGACTTGAATGCTGTCACCCCGAAACCCTTTCGTTGGATCTTAGACATCACCTGGCTGAATCTGGTGGAGATCAGCAAGCTGGAAACCTTCTCCACTGTTCTGCAGGTAATCGAGCTTAATGAGCGGGACTGGAGATGTTGGTATGAGTGTGAGAAACCGGAGAATGAGGAGATCCCTTGTGGCTACAATGCCATCCTGGATGGTTTCCGGAAGCTGCTGCTCATTAGGTCATGGTGCCCCGATCGCACCATTTCACAGGCCAAGAAGTATATAGAAGGTGGGTTTGTCACATTGATTTTTAACTTAATTTTATTTATTTAAATAATTTTTTAAGAATCTCTGGGAGCGGAGTATAGCGAAATGCAAATTCTTGACTTGGAAGAAATGTGGTAAGACTTAAAGCCTTGATTTTTGGCACATCTTTACTATACTAACATCTTCTTAAATTATTTAGAATAAATTAAGTTTAAGCTTAACATAAGCTTAAGTCTTGCATTTACTCATTTATTAAAAGACTAAGAAGTCATTCTTTATTCCATACCCTGAATAGAAACTATAAAGTCTAATACCGCGAATTAATTTCCAGGCTTGAGTCAGAACCCCGCACTCCATTCGTTTGCCTTTTGTCCATTGGATCAGATCCAACCACCCAGATCGGAGCTCTGGCCAAGCAGAAGAGCATAGGTAAGCCATGCATATTGTAACCATCAGCCATGACTGATTTTAATAACCCCTTGAATAGTGCTCAAGTGCGTGTCGATGGGTCAGGGGCAGGAGTACCATGCACGTAAGATGATAATCGAATCGATGGCCATCGGTGGATGGGTGCTCCTTCAGAACGTGCACCTGTCGCTGCCCTTCTGCTCCGAGATTATCGATATGCTGGTGGAGAGCGAGCACATAGATGACTCCTTCCGTATGTGGGTAACGACGGAGCCGCACAACGAGTTTCCCATCGGATTGCTGCAGATGGCTCTCAAATTCACTAATGAACCACCACAGGGGATACGTGCCAGTCTAAAGCGCAGCTACCAGGTGGGCAAATAACTTGCTTCCAGTGCTGGATACTTGAGAGCTGGGGCTTGCTTAATATTTAATTTTCAATCTTTTTTCCGGGGCACCAGTCGTTCACCCAGGACTTCCTCGACTACACATCGGCCTCGCAATGGCCCCCGCTACTCTACACGGTGGCCTTCCTGCATACCATCGTCCAGGAGCGACGCAAGTTCGGCCCACTGGGCTGGAACATACCCTACGAGTTCAACCAGGCCGACTTCGCCGCCAGCGTGCAGTTCATCCAGAACCATCTCGACGAAATGGATCCCAAGAAGGGGGTCTCCTGGCAGACCCTGGTCTATATGATTGGCGAAGTTCAGTACGGTGGCCGGGTGACCGATGACTTTGACAAACGATTGCTAACCACATTCACATCGGTGTGGTTCTGCGAGCCACTGTTGTCCAACTCCTTTGAGTTCTACAAGGGATACAAAGTGCCGGGCACGAAGAGTCTTCAAGGTTTCATCGATTATATCAACAGTTTGCCGGCCTACGATACCCCGGAGGTGTTTGGCCTGCATTCGAATGCCGACATCACGTACCAAATAAACTCGGCCAAAGGTAAGTGACGGGATGTGATTCGATGATTTCGAATGCGAATTTAATTCGACCACCGAAACCCGAACGACCTTCCACAAAAGAGAATCCCCATATCGTATATTTAGTTTTAATGCCGTTGATGGACACCAATGTGGGCTCATAAATTATCAATGCGTTTAATTTAATGTAAAGCCCTGTTGCATAATCAATTCGGTCAGGCCCACCTCGATGTGTGAAATCAATAAACCGAATATTCCGTGGTCTCTTTTCGTACTCCGCCGCCGCGTGCCCCATTTGGGAGCAGCTCCTTTAGCCGGCAACCCACTCGGGCATTAGCGCATTAGCATATTCGATGGCCCCGAAATTCTTGATTGTTTATTTCTGATTTCTACACCCGCCAGGCATCCTCGACACCATCCTGAGCGTCCAGCCCAAGGAGGGCGGTGGCGGTGGCGGCGAGACCCGTGAAAGCATCGTCTATCAACTGGCCGACGACATGCTACGTAAACTGCCCGCCCAGTACAACGCCTACGAGGTGCGGGAGAATCTAACGCGGATGGGTATCCTTCTGCCCATGAACATTTTCCTCAGGCAAGTTAACCCTTATACTGGCAAATGTCCTGTAATTAGAGTGGGGGGAGATTGATAATTGCAGGCAGGAAATCGATCGAATGCAAAGGGTCATTAAACGGGTCCACACCTGCCTCTGTGACCTCAAGCTGGCCATTGATGGCACCATTGTAATGAGTCCGGCGCTAAAGGAGTCACTCGATGCCATGTACGATGCCCGCATTCCAGAGACCTGGATGAAGGTTAGTATTTTTATTGTTTTTATAAAGTAAAAACGTAGTTTCTACCAGCTAAAACTCTGGCTGTTAGCTTAAATCCCCTTTAAATACATTTTAAAGGCCAGGCTAAAAATATGGAAATTTAACAATTTTTGATTTCTACCATGGGAAATGTATTTTTTCCGCTGGCCTTTTATGTTCCGGGACTCGTAAATTATGCGGGCAAACGTTTGACGCCTCAAAGCTTAGTAATCGCATTCCTGTTACCTGTTGAAAATAATGGAAAGGTTTTCATTTTTTTTGTTAAATGAAATGAACTTGAAACGTTACTATAGAGTTTTCATAGGGAAAAACTTCACAATACTAACACCTTTCAAATAGACAGCAACAAAAAACTCAAGTCAGACCTAGACTAGAAATGGATCACAACTATCACCAAAAGAAAGATGCCAACTTCATTATCAGGACAACGCAATCGCAAAAAGATCTTTCGACTCGGACCTATGGATTTTTGAAGGCATCTCGAACCGATACTCCCATACCGAAGTCGCATAAGACCTTGCACACAAGCACTCTTATAGAAAGATTGCACTCCGTTCACGACCGTATCGACTTACAGACAGAGTCCGAGCAAAATGATCTATCTAGTTCGGTGTCAACGGACTTATGGGACTCTAACGATGTTCCCGTGGAAAAGTCGCCCTTTGAGCTAAAACGTAAACTCTTCGATTCCGCCGAGTTTACCATTGCCCAGGGCGTTAAGTTAAGCACAATGCTATGTCCCATCAATCCTAGTCAACATACGACTGTTCATCGCAAAGATCCCGGTGCGTTTTCTTTGGACGAAATGGAGTCCTACTGTCGCCGGCTGAACATTCAATTTGATCGATAGATTTGCCAGAATTCAATTTCTTTCATTGCAAATAAAATGTTTCTTACTCCTTGCTCTGAAAGCGTTTCTTGTTTTGAATTTATGAGTGAAACTACTTACAGATATCCTGGGAATCGACTACTCTGGGATTCTGGTACACCGAGCTACTTGAACGCAATGGGCAATTTCGAACTTGGATATCCACGGACAGGCCCAAGGTGAGTGGAAGTCGCTATTAAGGATAACTAATATCTCTTATTAACTAACTTAACTAGGTTTTCTGGATGACTGGCTTCTTTAATCCTCAAGGTTTCCTAACAGCCATGCGGCAGGTGAGTAATAATAAAAAGAAAACGAAAAAGCTGAGTGAACAGAAATCATGTATTATGGCATAGTTGCTTAATAAGCAAACGGGATATGAATACCAAACGCACTCGGTTTTGGCCAGAAATCGATGTTCTGCGGAAATGGGTCCTTTGTCATTCACATATTGTGAGGAGCACTTCCTTTATGCCCAGGCGATTGCCATTAAAACGTACATTTTTCCTTCGTACTGATTGACATATCTGATTTCCCACCTTAAAGGTTATTCACACGGTTTTTCCTTTTACCTTTGCATATCATATCTGCTGCGATACTTGAAAATCCCCCTCGTTGCGGCACAATCGATGTTAGGAGGTGACGCGAGCCCACAAAGGATGGGCCTTGGACTCGGTGGTGCTGCAGAATCAAATAACGCGCTACAACAGGGAGGACATCACCGAGTACCCCACAGAGGGTGTATATGTCCACGGCTTGTTCCTCGAGGGTGAGTAGCCTTAACCTCAGATATTGAACTTCAAATGGAAAAAGAAAAAACTGTGCTGCCTGTTCCAGGTGCTTCACTGGATCGACGAAGTGGCAAGCTGATTGAGTCCAAGATGAAGGTGCTCTACGAGCAGATGCCCGTCATCTATATATACGCGATAAACACGACCGCTGGCAAGGATCCCAAGCTGTACGAGTGCCCAATTTACCGCAAGCCCCAACGCACTGACCTAAAGTACGTGGGCTCAATTGATTTCGAGACCGAATTCAATCCCAAACACTGGACATTGCGCGGCGTGGCTCTGCTCTGTGACATCAAGTGAACCAACCATGCCCCGTTCCCCAACTTCGTTCCCGATCCCGTTGGCCATTGTTTGCCATCATGTCAACGGCTGTACGTGAGTGGGGCTCCTAATGGCCCTGTGATAATTATCTCTTTTTTTTTTGTTTTGTGTCCTTTGGCTGGACGTTAAAGTTTCGTGTAATCCGGCGCAAATACAACGTTATTAATTAAGCCCTCGGGTGAGCCAGGGCAAATTGTTTGCACTCGGGAGCAACCAGCACAATTATTAGCTGTTATCCATTTTGGTCAATCCGAATAGGTGGGGCGACCAGAAAAACGAGCACCTAAATCCTTAGAGAATTAGGCATGTGAGTAGCGAAATCGCAGTGTTTAATAAAGGAATACATAAAAATGTTAGACACTTTGTTTGGGAATTAAAAGGCAAGGTTGTGTATGCTCAAACTTATACATTATCTGCTGCTACCCTGTAAAGGGAAAGGAAACGCGTCACGCGTCGCTCTGCCTGTTGCAGACTTCTATATAGATGGAGAACCAGCCATGTAAACACAATTGCCTTGAGTATTGATTAAAGGTGAGTTCAAAAACCTTTGTCTTACCATCACCCCGCCCTTCCTTTGCTATTATTTTATCATTTTGCCATTTAAAATGTGAAAATAATTCCCATAGAATTATGAATGTTTATCCGGGTAACTGGGTCCTTGGCAAGAAGTTAATTAAACGAAATGGCTTATAATTGAATGTCATGTCAATGCCTCATGATTTTATTTTCCTTTCATTTTTTTTAATAAGTATATCCGTACATACATATAATTTTGTATAATATATAATCGCTTTTTTTTTTTTTTTTTTTTGGAATTTTTCATTAGCTTGGATTTTTGTAAAAAGTAGTTTTTATTTACATACACGTAGGGAAATGAATTCGTATTAAATTTATTAATGTACAGAAAGTAACTTTTAAATGGTTAATTTGCTCGGTAAATGTAAATTCCTTGTCAATTTACACAACTCGTGGCGTAGTACTTGCTTTTGGTTAAGTGGGTCAGATCTAGTTTAAAATCGTTATTCGTTAATCGTTAATCGTTATTCGTTATGATTTGTAACCATTTAGTGTCTCTTAATATCTTAAAACTTGAACCTTTTAACAATGCAAACCGAATAGTGACCAAATGCAACGAAAGTTGTCTCTGCGCTATGTTAATTCTATTTGAGCATTTTTTTACACAAGTTAAAGCACAACGGAGCTAACGTAAAAACCAATTTCCGCCCGCGGAGAATGTAAACCACAATTAATTATTCTTCTTTTTTTTCTTTTTTAAATGGTAATATTATTATAGTTGGTAAATAAGAAAGAGAGAGGGAGAGAGAGAGAGACATGGCTAAAGAAAAAACATTCGACTGGTCAATATTGCATGCGTTTGATTAATTAACTTTAATCGTTAAAATAATTATTTCAAATTACACACAAAGATCACTATTTACGTTTATAATCCTTAGACTTGTTCGTCGCTGTACGAGTGTATTAGCAAAAGTGTTTCACGATCTTGTTAAGTACATTTAGTTAGCATGTTTGACATTAATCGGGGGCTTTAGTTTTCAACAGTATCTGTGAGAGAGGTAGCATAAATCGTTACATACACCGTTGGTTATTTGTCGATAAAATATAGATTTCAAATGCGAATACATCTAGCAACGTGTGGGGAGGGGGACGAGGGGGCTGAGGGGAGTAAGTTTTGTCATCAAGGGAGTATGTGCACACACAACATGCCTGCCTTGTGGCCAGCCATTAGGAACCGTCGATTTGCATTAATAACCGTCCAGCAGCACCAAGTCGTAGGGTGCCCTGTCCTGTCCTGTCCTGTTCTGTTCTGTCCTGTTCTGTCCCTATCGTATCCGTATATCCCTATATCGGTATTATAATTGTATCGGTATCTGTATCTATATATCTGTATACGAGTATATCCGTATCTGTATTTGCATCTCTCAATCTTCACTTACTTAATTAACATTATGCTGACTTTTGTGAAAGCGATAGGGAAACGACCAGGGCAGCCGGTCATTTGCATTGGCCACCACCTCGTTGGGTTCGTCGTTGGCCCAGTTGGGTTTGTCCTCGAACACATCGTATCTCTCCAAGCCCAATCCTAAACCCATTCCCACACCCACACCCACTCCCTCTGGTCCCACGTCATTGTAGTTTTCCTCATCGTCATCCACATATCTCGCCGAGTTTTTACTGCCCCCATTGCCATCGTCATTCTCATTTTCATTTTCATTCTCATTCTGAATCTGAATCTCGTGTTCATGATTTGTTTCGTTAGCTTCATTTCCGTTGACCCGATGCCTGGTTAGACCCACCATTCCGGCCACGTCCAGAGATTTCTTCGCATAGCTGAGCAACTGTTGAGCAGCTGCGGCTGCGGCTGAGGCTGCCTTCTGACCTGGGAGTGCCTGGGATTGTGGTCGACTTGATGTTGATTGCTGGGAGTCCACAAACTGTGACGATTCCTTGTACGGGGACTGGGCCCATCCGTAGCTCCACAGTTGGTTGGGGAAATGCTTCCATGGCAGCAGCTGTTGACGGTCCAGCTGCTCCTCGGGAATCGTCTCTCGTTCCAGTTCCCGCTCGACTGGCCACTGCTGGCGATAACGCCTGCTCACCTTCGGACCACCTCCTCCAGCTCCGCCGCGCAACAGGACTCGCTTGCCCACATTCTTTAGGATGGCGCGGTTTAGCTCGACCTGGACAAGCACAAGAAAAGGTAATTTGGTTCACATAAAATGCTGTTAAATGCTGTAAAATGTTCGACAAATTGCCAGGGTAGAGGAGGAACCTCCATTTCCCCCATGGCCATGTAGGTGTACCTTTCACTCTGAAAGGGCAGAGCTAAACTAGATTGACATGCATGATGGATGACCACATTGGCAATGTTGTTAACGTTTCAGTTCGCAAATCAAATGTCATTTCGTTATTCCCTTAATTGAGTGTGAAATGTCCCTGCATCCCATGGATCTCTAAAATCTAATCTCTAAAAGCTGTAACTATCTACATTCCATTACAGTTACTAACCACTTTGTAGGATACTTAAAGTCCCAGGTGTTGGCTTAAAAGTCAGCTGAATATTTAAAACCAGAATGATTAATCGTTAGAGAGTGATAATGAATATTACTCAGCCAGTAGTTATGAAAATAAATCTTTTTTTTCCTACCACAAACTGCATAGTTTGGTTGGCAAATTAATTGTAATTTTATAGCCAAAGTGTAAATGCAAACTGGCAACCGAACACCTGGCAAATTTACACTTTTAATGCTTCCGCTATTTATTCAAAATTTCCTTCTGTTTGCCAAACACTTTTGCTGGATTTTTAAAGAGTCAGGTGTTTGCTTTAACCCAAGGACAAGGATTCGATGTCTTTCTCTCAAGTTCAAGTGAGCTGGCATTTTGGGCTAAAAGTCTGCTGCCATCTGCTGGAAATAGAGCAGAAACCCAACTGTGATCTATTTCTTTTAAGCTGTGAATAAATATGTCGATTTCATTTAGTTTGCATTCAAATTAAAGTCGGTATAGTATGCGTAGAGAGCTCAAAGATACTTATTGCTTTCAGAAATGAGATAAAAGTCACAGATTTTAATTTATTTTTAGCCTTGCCATATAAAATTGAGATGAAATTTCCTAAAATACGAATTCATTCGTTTTAAACTGAACTTTATTTGGATTTTTATTTGTCAATCTCTCTCGCACTGCCGGATACTTAGAGTCCCAGGTGTGTGCATAGAATATTATACCTGTTCGGCTCATCTTTCACCGATTCAAATTGCTTTTGGGATGCATGGATTAATTTATAAAACCCCTTTGACAAATCAATAACGTTATCTGTGGCATGTGTGTGAAAATAGGTGGATAGGCAACCATAGATAGGCCCAACCATGTTCATCCATGACCCTCTTTAACAGAAATTCGTGGGAGGAAAGGTGAGGCTATCAAGGCAAATCGTTTGAATTCCTCGCATTAAAACGTTTGATTTTTTTTTGCCTGTTTTTTGTCTTTTTGTGTGTGTGTCAGTGTGTGTGTGTGCCCTGAGGGGAAGGAACACAGTTTGGTAACCAAATAAACTCGCTTTGTTTCCGAGCAAAAATATTTGTGTTACACATATGCCATGATGGCTTTGTTTTTGGCACCGAGCCTTATGCATGTGTGTATGGTATATTTTTGGGTGTCACGGCCATCCGAAGTGCTTAAGCCCTGTTCTCTGCCAGATCTGGCCAGGATGTTGTTGTTTACATTCCCGGAGCAAGTATGTGGGCCCCACTGGGAGTCTCTGGTCTATTCAAGATATCCGTGGAATATTTATTGCTCCCTCTTTGCTCCTCCAGAAATTAAAAAACTTTCTTCTTGCAGCGCTGTTCGCTTTTCGAAAGTATTTCTCATTAGGCATTCTAGTTTTGATTAGCCGGTCTACATTTTCATTTCATTTTCATTTTCCACCGAATTACTCTTTCCACTTTCCAGTACAGCATTTTAGCGGAAATTGTTTTCCGTTTGTCTTTGTGTTCTTGCCTTGGCCGAAGTTTTCCTTCTTATTTTTAGCTTATTAAGAAATAACTTGCAAAGTGGACAGAGTACAGAACTCACCTGGCGGGAGTTCTCCTTCATTTGCCTGCGTGCGATTTCCAGTAGCAGTCGCTGACGCAGCACATCCAGGGGATTGACAATGGACAGCGATGGTTTGTTCCTCTTGGCCACTAGAAAGTCATCCTAGACAAGGGATATATATATATATAGTAAGCACATTTACATTTACTGGAAACTTCTTAGCGCATGGCATAATAAAACCCTCTGACGAGGTAATGCAAAAAGTTTTTAAGTCCCTGTTTCTGCGCTCTAAGTTTATTTTTTGTTTTGATGGAAATTAAAATTTTTATATCAAATGATTGGCTTCGATGGTGGGGTAATCTTAAGGGTAATCGAAAACGTGGTGTCACCTTTTGTTTTTCCCACATGGGGGAAATTATCATTACACAAAATCTAGGAATCTTATCGGAATTGTTCGACGTTTTTTCCATGATGATCAATCGGAAATTTCGCGATATCGCAGCTCTTCACTGATAAGAAAGAAAATTTCAAAGCAACCTCGTGAGTCATGGCTAAAAAATCATTAAAAAAAACAAAAAAATGCAAAACAACTTTCATGATAATATAATTTTATGATTTGGTTTGATAACGAGGATTTTAATTTCCCTGCCCTAGACAACAGTATTATAAAAAGATTTTGCCAGTTCATAACGCCTTTATACAATTTCCCTCTGCCAGACTAACAGCCTTATAAAACGATCTTGCCAGTTTATAAAGATAAAAGAACAAAATTTATACCTTATCTAGAAAGTTTAGCAGACTCTTTCCTAGGAAAATTTTAAATAAATGAGTTTATTTAATTTTTTGGGTTCCAAGAAGTATTTACAAGGCAAACAGTAAGCAAAAAAACCAAATACATGTTCTGATAAATATGATAATTACGATTATTGTTGGTCTGACTATCAGAAATTCTGGCGATAAGATAGGGCTATGGCGGTGTGTGTGTGGTCGCAATGTCTGGCAGGTTATGGAAGTTATCAGTTATCAGACTTCTATAAAAGCTATAGCCATCTGTGGACCCAGGTAGTACATTCGAAACAATAGCGAAATGAAGGTTCTAACACTCTTCCTGTTGACTGCCTTGGTTGCAGTGGCCGTTGGCCGTCCGAACGGTGGGTGGTTCGGCAGTTTTGGCTCTAACTGGGCAAAGAAATTCGGCTGGGACTCCGATGACACTAAAGAGTTGCTGGATGTCAAGTGGATTCAGAACCATAATCAGAATGGCAATGGTCATGGTCAGGGTCAGTGGAATTCCGGAAATGGTCAGGGACAATGGAACGGAAATAACCATGGCCATGGACAAGGTAATGGTCATGGAAACAACCATGGTCATGGACACGGTCATGGTCATGGAGGTCACCGCCCTCCACCACCTCCTCCACCAACTGATCTGCCCGAGCTGACCACTCAAGATGATATCGTCGACACTACGGATGTGACTAATCCCGCGGAGGAAACCACCTTGGCCCCAGAGGAATCCACCCAGGCCCCTGAGGAAACCACCTTGGCCCCTGAGGTTCCAGAGGAATCCACCAAGGCACCCGAGGAATCTACTCAGGCTCCCGAGGAAACCACTACCGACTCTGAAGAAGGAAGCGGTTCTTCGGCAGAGACTACTTCTGCCCCAGAAGCTCCTGAGGAATCCACCACCGAGGCGCCAGAAGAAATCACCACAGATGCCGAAGACGGTAGCGGTTCCTCTGAAGAAACCACTCAGGCTCCAGAAGAAACCACCACAGATTCCGAGGATGGAAGCGGTTCCTCTGATGTGACCACCGAGGCTCCTGAGGACTCCACCACCGAGGCACCCGAGGAATCCACGACTGATTCTTCAGTGGTTTGAGAAGCCAGCTCGTTAATGCCTAAAGTTAATAGTGAATTTTCTCAAGAATCAGTTAAGATTTGTTGTCTGAAGATCAAGAAAACAGATCTTGAAAGGAACAAAGGTGCAAATATTAAACTGTTATTACTAAATTATTAAAAGTGTTTCTGGAGTGGAGCCCAGTGAAAACGTTTATAGGATTAAGATAAGGACCTCATGAAGCCACATCGTGTTATGTAGTCACGCATTCGTCATATAGATTTATAGTTCCGGCAATCTGAACAATTAAAATCACCCGAAAAACAACTAAAACACAGAAATCGTTTAATTTGAAGCGTGTACTGAAAGGTTTAGAGGTTGTACACACGCACTAAATGCTTATCATAAAATTGAAATTTTGCTTTCTGGACCATGATTGCTGTTGCTCTGGCTGTTTGCTATTGATAAACTGACTGATTGACGTACGCATACATCAATCAATGGATCGCTACTTGACTGATTAGTTGGCGAATTGAACCTTATCGAAACATATGTACATATAGCCGAGTACATATGTTTGTGGTTAATGATGTGTCATATTTGGTAATAACACAAATGGAAAGTTTCGTAATTGGCCTTTGACGTGGCCCCCGAGGTGGTTTTTAAAATGCTGTCTCATCATAAAACATCAATTTCTTTCAGCAAATAAAATTAAATTGTTTACGTGTCTCTCGCATTTACGTGCTTAAATCTCCTGTTGCATCCAACCAACTTGCCGCACATTTCAATTGCGTTGAATAAAGAATCGACTTGACTTCGAACTTCTTAAAAAGCCGAGGTGAAACTTTTGATTGTGGACAACAGAAGTTGTCCAACACAAATAGAATGTTTTCATTTTTCTTATTTTTGTTTTCTTCTAATGATGCTTGCTGCTTGGCCAAAATCATCCTCGACGAAAATTTCCATTTGTTTTCAAAAGCCCGAAAAAACGTGAATCGATTTTGTTACCATGTGTTAAGGTATATATACTTTTTCTTTCGTTCAAATGAGTTCTACGTTGGGGTATTGAATACGTTTCAAGTGCCTAGATAAGACTTTACCGGAATCCAGATACTATAAGCGATTGAGCCTTAAGAGATTTCTAGGAAATGTCCAGAGATTTGCACATAAAACCAAATTCCTAGAGCAAACCACTTTAAACTATTAACTTGATAACGAAATCTACGCATTAGTAATCTTCTATTTCTGTCAGCATAACTAGTTCATACGACTAACTTATACAAACTAGTTGCTTGAATTTTCCTTATCTTAGAGCTGGTATGTTATTTATGCTTTAACAATCTTTATCAACTTTGGCCCCGATACCTATGGGCTGTAATGATAATCCGCCTTTTTTCCACTCAAACAAGCCAAGAGCCTTCGGAAATGGACACATTGCGGTCACTTCCGTTTGGGACATGGTTCTTGGCCAAAGGTTATGCATTGTAATGGACAATGTGTCAATTTACGAACAGCAACCAATGGCGGTTGTCAAAGGCAAGCAATGAAAACGCCTGTACGGAAAATGCAGAGCCAATAATTGAATATGCATTGGGAAAACATTCGGACAGAAGTGACGCAAAAACTGCTGCCACTCACAAAGAGCGACAGAAAGGAATGCACTGCCCACCTGTGTGTTCCGTGCATCTGGGTAGTCCAGAGGATATCCGTTTGTGCGGCCGCTTCCGCCGACCTCAGGTCCCGATCCTGCTGCTCCAACTCCGCCTCCTCCGGCTCCTCCTCTTTGGGCCGTGCAGACAAGCCTTGTGGCACACAGTAAAGTTAATAACACCGGACAAAACCACGCTGTGGCTTTCATCATTCTGCAACAAGAAAAAAAACACAAAAATAATAGAAAAACGGTTGAGTTTCATGGTTGAGTGCACAATTTACAGATTTGCATGTAATGCAGATTGGTTGGTACTAAAAAAAAGTAAATGTAATTTATCGAAATTAATCAAGAAAGTAAACATTCATTTGGAATTTTTTTCCACACGCCTTTTACATGAAATCAAACAGCCTTTAAGCCTTTTAAGCCATTAAGTTTTTATGTTGTCAATAAATACAGGGTATACTAAATCCCATACAATTGGATCATGTTCATTTTTATGGAAAATGAAGCTTATCTGTGGCTATTATTTTAAAAATTTCAAAGCCACTGCCTTCTGCAAACTTTGACCTCTGCCGTTTTCCCGCTGGAATAGACAGAAAATAAAATGCTGACAGGTAAGCTGTGAAAAATGCGCAATATTCTGACAACAAGAAGTGTTCTCATAATTTATGGGTCACGTAAATATGTGGTACTTGTGAACCTAGTTTTTTATGTACATACTATATACCTACGAATATGCATATCAATCTCATGTCCCTTTGGACTCTTCAATCAGTTACCCAGGCGGGGGAGTTGAGTGCAAATTTACACAAGGTTCAGAAAGGAAATTAGGTTTTAAATTGAAGAAGTCGACGAGTAGCCGAGCAGCAGGACAACTAGATTATTTTCCTGTTGCTAAACTAAGTCATCAACGGGGAACCTTATTGCAAGGTTGGTAAACAGGAGTTTATATATACTTTAAGTTACTTGAGCCTATTTATAGTCAACTTAGTCTTTCGTAAGATATTTGTAGACAGAATAGTCTCAAAATAGTTTCCTCTTATGGAAAGGTGTTTCCACCTGCAACCTCTCTACATTTAAGTTAAAAACTAACTTAAGTATCTGCTGCTCTTTAATTAACTTTAAAAAGCTTTCTTCATCCTTTATTTTCACTTTTCTACTCTTAATTCCTTGCATATATTTAGCATATCTTTCTTATAAAGCCTTGCCCAGCTCATGGTCACTTTTAATTGTATAAATTAGATGAAAGTTTCACTTTAGTTTTCCTACACCAGCACAATGTAATGCCAGCCATTGTTCTGCAAAACCAAACTTCTGTAACCCAACTAACTTTGTGTTACTAACTAAATTAAGTAACAATTGCCTTTAACAGCGAAAACTTGTTGCAATATTGTGGGAATAACTCAAAGTTTGAACTCCCATAACTCGAAATTCGCTATTACTCAGAATTAGGTTTAAACTTCTCGGCACCAAAGCGTTAAATATTTTATAATCACAAGAGAGATTCAAGTAACATTAAACATAAATACCTTTTTGTAATAAAATTATATTAAAAAACTCATAAATTGCATAAGAAATTCTTGAAAACTTTAAGACATTGTTTTAGAAGAGAGAGAGGAAACATCCCAGAAATTATTAGGAAACGAAAAAGTTCTGTAACGAAACCCCATTCAAAATGTTGGCAGCTCTTTTGTTTTCGGTCGGAGGACAAACTCTCATACATATCCCACCTGTCAGCAGGAGCATTAGACATCAGATGTAAGTAACTGCCGAAATGGCAGCCGCATTAGCCCTGCCGGCAATCACATGTCATATAGATGCCATTCGATGAACAAGGATTTACGAATCCCTGGATGAAACTTGTGGGCGGGTGTCTGCGGCACTTTACCAACGACAATTGATGGCTATTGATTTCCCCTAATAGATCGCGTAAACGCTGTGAAATGCGAAATGTAAAAGGTTCAACCGAAAGCAGCCGCCAAAGTTGCAACGGAAATTGCAATCGAATTGAATTAGGGATCTCCTCCTAAGTGAAGCCTTGCCCCCGCAGGAATTTCCTTCTGCTCAAAGGTTTACCCAGAGCGAAGATGTAATGAATGAATTCTAACATTTGAAGTTGAACAAATATTGATTTTCTGAATGTAATATATAGAGTATATTCCAAGGCAATAAAACTGCCCTGCCCCACTGAGGATTGAGGCTCCTTGTGACAGCCATTGTCATATTCCGGTGACGGAAATCGTGATTGCCCAGGGCTACTTGCCAGCACGTCCCTTCTTGTTTTATCGCCAATTCAAAGGGCGGACCCAAAAACACAAGGAAATGAAATCCTGGCCTGTTATCTATTCCAACTTCAGATATTTACATACGCATGCAAATACGAGTATGTGCAAAGCACATGGGAGCTAAAGTTTTCCCTCTCTACCCTCTCTCTCTCTCTTGTATTATGCAGCTTTAAAAGCCGTAAATCCAATTTGATTAGGCCGTAAAAAAAAATAAAAGAAAAACGCATGAACAAAAGGTCAATCAATCGGGAATCTAAGGCGTAAGAAAGAAAAGCCCAACGTTTCTTTGAAAATGTTTGCCGACGCTGTCAGGTGAAAACTTTTCACTAAGCTTGTTTGCAGTCTATTAAGTCACGCGGATATTGTTACACGAAACCAGCAGCTTGCACATAAAAACCAAAACTAATTAGCTTAAACGTTTTTTAAGCAATCAATCAACCTTGTCCCATTTGTGGATACAATTTACAAAACTTTTCCGTTGAGGTTGAAATCTGATATGCTTCCTTGGCAGGGCAATTTCAAGTAAAAGTAACACCAACTCAAAAACATAAAAACCACCGGATGAGAGTCTTTTACGAAATGAAATCACCTTATCAGTGGTAATTGCCTCTAATTTCGGTGGATCTGAAACGCACTCGACGGATTGATTTATGACGATCGAGATATTTCGCGTGTAACTGCTCCTTTCTGTTTGAGAATCTGCCCCTTTTTGTGGCTTATTTGTGTTTCTTTTTTGGGTAATTTATTTTATGTATTCACACGTCGCGTCGCGGAATCGTAAACTGATTCGGAATCTGAAACTGTTGCTGGAGTTTTTAAGGTTTTCTGATGGCGCTCCTGCTGTTTTATTCCCAGCATCGAAATCGAACCTCGAACGCAACAGGCTGACGACGAGCGGAGGACTCACGGAGTATAGCGATTACGGCGTGTTTTTATATTGGGCGCCACGAAGCGCCCACACGAAGTGCCGGATCCGAGGAGCCGATATGGACGAAAGGCCGATGCCAAAGGACACGAAGGAAACGAAGGAAAAGTAAAGCCCAAGCCACGCGACGAGTTATGAATGAAAACGTGCGGGTACGGCATGTTGCCAGGATGATGGAAATCGAATCAGATGAGGCGGGTCAGACCGCGCGGGTTAGACCATCACCACCACCCATAATAAATCACCCAGTTAGGTGTACTAACACATTAAGGAATTGACGGATTGATGGCGGGGATAACCAAAACTGTGGGGCGGGGACGGAACGCCTTCAAATACAGGTGTTGCAGCAACATGTTGTTCGAATGGGCACCGTCACCGCTGTAATTATCGAACTCAATTAATATTTAATGAGTTTTATTTGCACATTAATTGTTCGATTTAAAACCAGACGCCTCCCAGTTGACGAGGATCCCGGAGCACTCAATGTCATGTCAAGAGGTGCTAACGTGGCCCGACATTCCGCTTGGCCGGCAATGGGGCGTAAAATTGCTCGCCATAAATCCGTCAAACGCTGACCATGGGGGTCTTGCTTAGAAGATGGGTTCCACCCATGAGGTCCTCGAATCTAAAGGGATTTTTTTCTTATTTCGGAACACATCAATTTTTATTGAGATTGGTTACACGAAGAATGTTGGATAGAGGATTTGATTCTGATTTGGAATTCATTTAGCAAGGATATAATAGGTGTCATAATTTAAATGCTTTCAGGATTAGTTAGGCAAATGTTCATTTTTCATTACCCTTTAGTGAGTTTATGTTATATTTGTTCTATAATTCCCATTCTACTTTTTTACTCGCCCCTTTTTTCGATTAAACTAAGTTACCCAAACTGAAATTTAATCAAGATTGTTTATATTTTATTACAGCATAAGTTTTGCAATCTAAATTAGAAAGTCATGATATTTCGGCAGTTGCCAACAATTACAGTACTAACTAGTTTAGTTTTTCCATGAGACAATTAAAAAGCAACAGTGTTGCCAGCTATCGCAATTGTCCTGCGTCCTTGGGGACGTTGATCACCCACTTTGACATACTTTTTAATTGCTTTCAACATGTGTCTTTGGGTTTTTATGTATGTTGAATGTGCATGCGTCGGCTTGTAATTAAGCACGTAGGCAAACGCCTCCATTTCCTGCCCAGCAGGATGCTTTATGGCTGATTGAATTCCGTCAAAATGCTACTCCCGCCACCCACTTTTATGGCAGATGTAATTCTATTGAGAGTGTGAGCGATTTTTAAGATGCCATATAGTACGTTGCTAATTTACTTATAATTTTCTATAAGTTTCTTTGTCAACTAGCATTATAAAACTAACTTATTCTTATATTCTCTAACTAACCTACTAATTGGTGTCATTAGCCTTACCGAATACAAAGTATTAATCTATAAGTGGGTTCATTGTTAAAGCTTAATGATAAATCTAGCTAATACTTTGTCAGGATCTTCGTCCCCATAAACATATTTATTAAATTAAGTACAGAGTTCAATCCCCACTCAAGCGGCCACAATTATAACGCATTTGACCAAACGCCCGACCCTGGGACTCTTTTGTCCTATTTGCGTAATAAGTCAATGACTCAACATCTTGCTGCTGGAAACCCCTTTTTCTAATAGCCCACCGACGATTTGACAGGCGACTAAACGGTAAACGGTAAACTGGCATTTAATGAAGAGCAGAAAAGGCAGCCGCCTCATTTCATCCAATTATCCTTGTTATGGGCAACCAACCCATGGTTTCATCCAATTATACATGCTAAGACGATTGTGTGAGTGTCAAGGAACTTGGTGTCGGTCAAGTTAAGTCATTAATAATTACTAACATCTTAATGACGACAGACACTTGATTGAAATATTAAAGAAGGAAATCACGGCGCGACACTACAACATTTAATTAAGACATTTCTTTGGCATATTTAACCACAATATTTGGCTTCCAGTTAGATCTCTTTGAAACGCGACTTTCATTGCAGTCAAAATGAGCGGATTACGCTTTGAAGCCTTTCAATTAAATCAAGTTACGGGCCATTTAAGCAAAGAGAAGAAAAATCAAACAGCAGTAGAAGTTAGTCAAAAACTTTGCTGGCAATATATATTTCAGCTAATCCCAGAAAAGTTTCGCCTAACTTGTTTCATCTTTGAGGTACTTTCTTCGTTATGGGATGTTGAATTTACTGCAGACTAAAAGTATTCAATTTGAAGGGCTACAAATAAGCATTTCGCAAGACTTATTAACGAATTAGGTCAGTTAATGTGAAACAAGCTCATTGTATTGGCCAATTAACACGTCGATTTGATTCATAATTTTATAAAAAGAGGAAACTTTCCTATTACCAACCCATATGCCAACATCCAAACCCCTTAATTGCTCATTTCACCCATTTTATGGAAAAGTTTAGGTACCAGAACACAAAATAAATAGCTAGATAATAGTTTTGTGGGCGAACCCTTTTTTTGTTTTAGGGTAAAGTATGCCAAACTCCGCACACGCAAACACTCACAGGGATTAGAAATTATCTACCTATTTTCGCCCACTCGATGCCGTCTCAATTTGATTAACGAGTGTATTGTGAGTTCTGCTAGGATAGATGAGCTGATATTAGGAAAAAAGGGTTCCATAAACCCATAACTATTATATCATATAAATGACATGCTCTGTTTTCTAAAAATAAAAACAATTTGGCTTTCTTGATTTAAATATAGTGATTATCAAAGATTGTACTTTAATTGGCTTCGCTTTAGATAGTTTATAGCAAATAGGTTTACTTTTATTTGTGGCCGATTGTTAAATCGCTTCACTATGTCAAAAAATAAATATGGGTTCTTAAGAACTTGGATATATTATTCCATATATTATAAATTAATTTATTTAAGTATTTACCCTTCAGCTTAAAACAATTATAATGCTACAAACTTAACAAAAATTAAAAAAAAAAAAACATAAATATTTGTAAGTAGAACGTTATTTTTTAAAATCTTCCGTTGCATCGATAACTTATTTCGATAGTTCCGGTAGTTGAATATTTTTCAATAATCGTGACTGGTCACGGAATGCGACTATCGATAGTCCAGCAAATTCGATAGCCCACCACTAGAAAAACAAATATGGCGGAACCGTGCGTAAAAGTAAAAAAAGTGTAAAAATTCGCTATTAAACCGATTCTAAACGAGATGAAATCGCATTGAAACCGCCTAATAAAACCTCCGCATCCCGCGAAATAGAAATTTCAACCTCCAAAGAAGTTGAAAATAATAGTGCGCCGCGCGCTTGTGTTTGTGGGTGATGCGATGCAATTTGGCCAGCAATTTGTTATTACGTGACCCCAAGAACGCCGCAAAAATTTGCCAGGCCAAATCGAAAGTAATCAAAAAATAAAGAGCAGGAAACAGACTTGCTATTGGCGGCAAGTGATTCTGAGTAGCCGCAATGCGATTTGACCGCGGGTTCACAGTAAATGAGTTTAATTGCGCTGAGATTCACTTAAACGGCAGCAGTGCCATCGCCTGAGATGCCAAGAGGCTTGCCGGCGGGAAACAGCAAGTGCGAAAACTAGGACAGCCCCAAGGGAGCCAAGTGAGCAGCCATGTCAGGGGGACGGGACAGCACCACCAGCAGCGGAAGCAACTCTGCTGCGGCCGGAGCAAGTTCGAATGCAACCTCCTCCTCTACATCAGCATCCTCCGCTAGCGCCACATCGCCCGCATCAGCGCAGCGTCAACGGGGAAGACCGGCCAAACGGGCCACGTGCACCTGGTGCGGCGAGGGCAAACTGCCTCTACAGTACGTCCTGCCTACACAAACGGGCAAAAAGGAGTTTTGCTCAGAAACCTGCATCGCCGAATTTCGCAAAGCGTACAGCAAGGGGGCGTGCACCCAGTGCGATAACGTCATCCGAGATGGAGCGCCCAACAAGGAGTTCTGCTCGATCATGTGTATGAACAAGCACCAAAAGAAAAACTGCTCCACTAGGCATAGTGGCGGTTCAGCATCGAGCAAGGGCTTGGCAGAAAATGAGCGCAAATTGCTGGCCAGTGGAGCGCCCGCACCGACGGGACCATTCCAATATGAAAGCTTTCACGTTTTCGACTGGGATGCCTATCTGGAGGTGAGTCACACTGAAATTTCTCTACAAACTTCAAACTTATTTCTTTTTGCATTTTTTAGGAAACGGGTAGCGAAGCTGCTCCTGCAGAATGTTTCAAACAGGCTCAGAATCCTCCCAACAACGACTTCAAGATCGGCATGAAACTGGAGGCTTTGGATCCGCGAAACGTCACCTCTACCTGCATTGCCACCGTGGTTGGAGTGCTGGGCTCCAGGTTGCGGCTACGACTCGACGGAAGTGACTCTCAGAACGATTTTTGGCGGCTAGTGGACTCTACCGAGATACATGCTATTGGACACTGCGAAAAGAACGGAGGAATGTTGCAGCCACCGCTGGGTTTTCGTATGAACGCATCCAGCTGGCCCGGCTATCTGTGTAAAATTCTCAACAATGCCATGGTGGCGCCTGAGGAGATCTTCCAACCTGAGCCGCCTTCGCCTGAGGAGAACCTTTTCAAGGTGGGCCAGAAACTAGAGGCTGTTGACAAGAAGAATCCTCAGCTGATTTGCTGTGCCACTGTGGACGCTATCAAGGATGATCAGATCCATGTAACCTTCGACGGCTGGCGAGGGGCATTTGACTACTGGTGCAATTACCGATCGCGTGATATTTTTCCCGCCGGCTGGTGCGCCCGGAGTTGTCACCCAATGCAACCGCCGGGCCATAAATCGCGCATGGACTCTAGTTCCAGTAAGCAGCGATGCCCGCGTCCTCGCTACACAGTTGTAGCCGAATCGGAGGCTATGGTTCCCGCATCTCCGGCCACCGCCCACTTTCATCCCAACTGCAAGGGCGGTCCGTTCATCAACAACTCCAAACTACCATGCATGGTGACAGGGCCTACATACCAAACGCTGGCAAAGCTGTGTTTGCAAGAGGTTTTGGCAGCCAGTACCGATACGCAGCAGCTATCCAAGTTGCTGTTCGCTTTGGAAGGAGACGTTCACATCGTTACGGCAGCGGGAAAAAATTTTACAGTGAGTTCAAGATCTTTTCAATTTTTAAGGGTCCCAATTTAATATTTATCTTTCCACTAATAGGTTAAAATACCATCACCTTTGCGGATGAAGGATGACGAAAGCTTGGCCCAATTTATCGAAACGTTATGCACTACATGCCGGGCATGTGCGAATCTCATTTCCTTGGTCCACGAAACGGAGGAGTGCAAAAAGTGCGCAAATAGTCGGAAGCGACAACTGACTCAGTCAGCCACACCGCCTTCCTCGCCAGTGCTGGCCGACAAACGAAATCGTCAGTCCAACTCGGCAACCACTTCACCATCTGAAAAGAACATCAAACAAGAGGTTGGCGCCAAATCACCGGCGGAGACCAAATCGAAAACACCTACGAACAATGGAAAGGAATCTACAAATCATCAGAATAGCCACAGTCTCAACAACAGCAGTCCCAGCAAGTCCAGTACCAAGGTGGTCATAAAAACGGAGCCCAATGGAGTGTCTGCCCAGACGTCCTCCACAACACAAGCGCTTCGTAAAGTACGCTTCCAGCACCATGCGAGCAGCAATAGCATTGTGGCCAATGGAAACCAGGACGCGACCCCGACCACGCCCGTTTCCTCTAGCCATTCCAGCAGCTCTTCAACATCATCCAGCACAAGTTTGGCTGGAGGGTCTGCCAACACCAGTTCCATTGGAAAATATCTGGCACCTCTGGTTGCCGAAGTTCATCCTGAGCAGGTCAATGTAAAGCCCTCGAATAGCTATTACAAAAGTCCGACGACGCTCTCATCCAGCGCCTCGTTGCCCACATCCGTGTCCACGCCTTTCACGGGCTGCCAGTCAGCCTCGTCCACTGCACTGGCTGCAGGCGGAGTTACGGCGGCAAAGGCAGCTACCGCGCCGGCAGGAGCAGCGGCAACTGCGGCAGCTTCCTCGAGCTATACCGCGATTACCTCACCCCTCAGCACACCCACGTCTGCTTCAGCGAACTCGCATCTGCGGTCGCAGCCCATCGACTGGTCGATCGAAGAGGTTATTCAGTACATCGAGAGCAATGACAATTCCCTCGCAGTTCATGGCGATCTCTTTCGAAAGCACGTAAGTAGCAACAACATGACTTTTTGAGTTGAATCATCAATTGATTTATTAATTTTATCTAGGAAATCGATGGTAAAGCTTTATTATTGCTAAATTCAGAGATGATGATGAAGTACATGGGCCTAAAGCTAGGACCAGCCTTAAAAATCTGCAATTTAGTAAATAAGGTCAATGGTCGTCGAAATAATCTGGCACTCTAAACTAACACTTAGTTGCAAGAAGAGGAGTTGGACTTACATAGAAATTGTTAACAAATTAGTACCTCCCTTTAACGTAAAGCGAAGCAAAACATGAACGATATTCATAGATGTGTTATGTGTTGGCCATTCATGAAAAAAGATCCATAACCTTATTTTATTATATTGATAATATAATCGCGAAAACATGAAATTCCCTATACAAAACAGTCGCATAACAAATTATAGACAGCCATGCTTCGGTTTTCAAAACCAAACTTAATTTTTTTCAAAAATGCCTTAAGAATTCTAATTAGGTACCTAAAGTATATCAAATTCCACTACCGTATATCTTTTTTTAAGTGTAGACAGAATTCTTTTCTCGAATTAGTTTTATTAGATTATTCAAATTTACCCAGTCAAAGGAGTATACGTACAAACATAAAATTAAGTTGATTCCCCTATTTCAAAGTAATCGAAATTATTCCTAAACTGTCACTAAATTTATTATTTCCCTTGAAGACTGGAGTTCGGCTACCAAAAACGCAATGCACATACATGATATTTATTACACATAAACACGCACATTAGACACCAAAATCTATCCGACACAAAAAATGATAATTAACTTTAGAATAGGCGAAAAAAAACAAACACATATAAAGTGAATGTACATATTTTACATATAATTTTGTAATTATGTATCAATTGCGTTTCCTAACTATAACAATATTTAATTAGTCATTAAACAAATTGATGGTATAATTTCTATTAAGTTATTGAAATTGAATATCAATTTTTAGTTAAATCAACATCAGTTAAGGTCATTTCGAAACTAAGAACCGCTTCCTTTTAAAGTTTTGCAATATATGCGATATAGAGTAACATTCGGTCGTGTAAAGTATTGCAATAAGTCTCATTATGTTTACCCAACAACCACTTTCAAATACAAAATTTAAATAGAGCCAACTGTATATATCATTACGTAATAAACATATTACAATTTGTTCTATTTTCAACCATAAAATATCCTAAGGAAATAACTCTGAATGGCAAGAAAAGGTACATGAGTGAACAAGCCACTTTATATAGTACTTAATGAAATTGCATTTTTCAGTTACATGTTCTTTAGAGTACCAGCTTTTGTTACTTATAATTACTAATTACTGATTAATGTGCATCAACGTTTGAATACATAAACGTTGATGCACATTAATCAGTAATTAGTTTAGTACAATCGTTAGGTTTTATAACCGGGTTTAATGGAGGTTTCGTGACGTTAAAGCTGAAAGGGGCAATTTGTGTTATTGTCATATTTATTTTCACCAAACAGATACATACAAATCTTTTGACAATTTGGTCAATCGTAAAAATGTTTTTGCACCCAACGAGGGAGGGCAAAAGCACTAGTATGAACCTCAGAAGAATAGTATTTCAGGTCTATCGCATCAATTTCTGATTTTCCCAGTGTAGGCTTAGTAAAGTCCTGGTTTTTGTTCAGGGAGCCCATGACGAAGCCAATGTGGCCGCAGGGATAGGATGGAACGGAGGTGACGGCGTAGGCCACTTTAGCGAAGTGCTCTTTGCAGCCGGACATTGTCTTCTTTATGTAGTCCAAGTCCAGCCAGAAACTGCCGCCTTGAGAGCACACAATTCCATCTTCTTTCAGAGCGTGCTTCATTAGCTCATAATAGCTTTCTTGGAACAAGCTCACCGCCGGACCAATTGGATCCGAACTGTCTGTAATGATGACATCAAATTCGTTTTTATGCTTCTGCATGTAGTCAAAACCATCTCCGATGGTAAGCTTCAACTTTTTGTTTTCGAATCCACATGCCATAGCTGGTAAATATTTCTTGGAAAGTTCCACAACTCGGTCGTCGATTTCCACCTGATGTACTTCCTCAACCAAGGGATGCTTTACTACTTCGCGAGCTACGCCGCCATCTCCACCGCCAACGATTAGGACCTTCTTTGGATTGGGATGGGCGCAGAGAGGCAGAAAGGATATCATTTCCTGATACGAAAACTCGTCCCTGGCCGTGCATTGGATAATTCCATCCAAAATCAAGCATCGTCCATAGGTTTCACTAAAATAGAATTATCGTATTATTGATTTTTTCAATGGCGGAAGTGTACTTAATGTTCGACTGGAGGAATTCAAACCTGAAATATGACCAGACTTGTTATCAGTTTTTTTTTCATATTTGGCCTTAGATGACTCCATCGATAAGGCTGTTGGTGCAGATCAAGAACAAACACCATGCAAAAGGGTCGAAAATGCTGTCAAGGCAATTTTTGAGCGGTATACCCAATGGAAAATTTTTGGTTTCTATAATCTTTGTTCAAGGGATCTCAGTAGGGGTTAAATTCCTTATCTCTACAGTTTTTCAAACATTTACGAATGCATGTTAGAGCACTGCAGTTTTCGTATCTAAAACCTCTCCACTTATTTTTTTATCTAAGTAATGATACAACTTTCGGACTCAACCTGACTGAGGAATTTCAGATGTAAACAAATGGGGATATGTTTACAAGCGTTTGTTTATTTATTTATTAAACTCACGTTTCAACAATCTGAATGTCCTGGTACTTGGACTTTTCAGTATGAAGAACCTCCTTGACTTTCAGGGAGAAGGACTGCCCAGGCCAAAGAGTGGCCTGCAGTTCGCTGAACCAACCGTTAGTTAGGGAATCCATTTGTTTAATGCTTCATTCAAACCGTAATTGATAAGATTGGCTCCAACACGTGTGCTTCCATCGAACTTACCATATCTTTTACCAAGCTAGGTCTTAAAAAATACCTTAGAAAAGTTCTTAGAATAAATACCAAATTGATTTTATTTGAATTAACTTTGCTCTTAACTTTAACTTTTTTCATAACTATAACCTGTTTTTCAAAAACAAGTTTTGCGTTATTCCACTTACATAAAAAGTGTTTCATGTTTATCAGTAATTCAATGCTTAATAATTTAAAAACAAAATTAGCAAGCAACTAAACTTTAACTATTTTGTTTTGAAAAATAATTTTTAATTATTTTGTGATTACAAACGATTTTTTAGGTAATTAACAGATATGAGTACTTTAAAGGTGCATTTAACTTTCAGGGAAAATAAATAAAAAACAAATGAAAACAACAAACAAATGCAAAAATATTATTTGTTAATATTTTTAAAATTTCTGGACACAAGGTTCAATTCAAAATGTAACTTAAAATGATGTTTTAATTAATAAACGGTCACTTTAGTGTTTCTAACTCCAGCTCAAGCTATCGATAACGGCAGGGCAGCATACGATTGCGTATCGAAATCAGCCCTAACCGGAGGAAAAGAATACGTAGACATTTGTGATTGGTTCGATTTGGGCCAATGAAAACGTTCCAGCAACACAAATCGTAGTATTTGCCTTCTCTCTTTGGCACACACGATTCAGATGCAATAAATAAATAGCACTTTTCTTGCCGGCATTTAGCATTTAACTTTAACCGAGTTCGGACAGACATCGAAGTTGGTAGAGTCACTCCAGAAAGTGGTGCGGGATCGTTCACATGATGTGGTGCAAATCAGTTATTGTGTTGCTGGCGACAGTCGGCATTATTAGTGCCGAGGTATATCTGAAGGAAAACTTCGATAATGGTAAGTAATAATCGCGGCCACTCGACTGATTTTTTTATTGGCGGCATGTAGCGGTCTTCAATGAAAAAAACCAACAAAAAATCCCATTTTTTCCGCAGAAAACTGGGAGGATACGTGGATCTACAGTAAACATCCTGGCAAGGAGTTCGGAAAATTCGTCCTCACCCCCGGTACCTTCTATAATGATGCTGAGGCCGACAAAGGTATGTGTCACTCCCTTTTTCAAATCTTTCGTTCTGCCATTTTACTTTTTCGTCGGCGTGTTATCTACATATACATACATATGTATGCGGATGTGTGTAGAGAAGCAAAGAAAAAACCACTACGTGTACGTTTTCGAGTAGCTATAGTAACTGTATACATACAATTTTTCTCCCCCCCTCCGCGTTTTGAATGTAGGTATTCAGACCTCTCAGGATGCCCGCTTTTACGCAGCTAGTCGCAAGTTTGATGCTTTCTCCAACGAGGATAAGCCCCTCGTGGTGCAGTTCTCCGTAAAGCATGAGCAGAACATCGACTGCGGAGGCGGTTATGTTAAGCTATTCGACTGCTCCCTGGACCAAACCGACATGCACGGAGAGTCGCCTTACGAGATCATGTTCGGACCCGATATTTGTGGTCCCGGCACCAAGAAGGTCCACGTGATCTTCAGCTACAAGGGCAAGAACCATTTGATCAGCAAAGACATCCGCTGCAAAGATGACGTGTACACTCATTTCTACACGCTGATTGTGCGTCCCGATAATACCTATGAAGTGCTCATTGACAACGAGAAGGTTGAGTCTGGAAACTTGGAGGATGACTGGGACTTCCTGGCCCCCAAGAAAATCAAGGATCCTTCTGCCACTAAACCCGAGGACTGGGATGATAAGGTAAGGTTCACTCCCTCAATTAAAGAAATTGCCGGTTGAAGCGAATTCAGACTTTGGCACTAAAAAACCGGTTTTTGTCGTTGTTATTAAACGATGTATACCGCCCTGCAGGCCACCATTCCCGATCCCGATGACAAGAAACCCGAGGACTGGGACAAGCCAGAGCATATCCCCGACCCCGATGCCACCAAACCCGAGGATTGGGATGATGAGATGGACGGCGAGTGGGAGCCACCAATGATCGACAACCCCGAGTTCAAGGGTGAATGGCAGCCTAAGCAGCTGGACAACCCCAACTACAAGGGCGCCTGGGAGCATCCCGAGATCGCCAATCCCGAGTACGTGCCCGACGATAAGCTGTACCTGCGCAAGGAGATCTGCACCCTGGGCTTCGACCTCTGGCAGGTCAAGTCTGGCACCATCTTCGACAACGTCCTGATCACGGACGACGTGGAGCTGGCCGCCAAGATTGCTGCTGAGGTTAAGACCACCCAGGCTGGTGAGAAGAAGGTGAAGGAGGCCCAGGATGAGGTGCAGCGCAAGAAGGACGAGGAGGAGGCGAAAAAGGCAACCGATAAGGATGACGAAGATGAGGATGATGACGATGAGGAGAAGGATGAATCTAAGCAAGACAAAGATCAAAGCGAACACGACGAATTGTAAGGACGTTTAGGAAAAATTACGTCAAAAAATATTCGGTATTTTTTGTGTGTTGGTAACTGCTTGATGTTCTAAGCAAACGGAAACCACAATTACAATTTGTAAGACTTATAATTTATAAACATACAACATGTTGTTTTCTTTTCATTGCTCTTTGGGTCACTTTTAGGGTTGTTACGTTGTTTGTTTATAAAAATGGAGGTGCCACGTGGACAAAACAAATCACAGCAAGATGGCAACGCTACAATCGTATCTACAACGATTTTTTTTTTTCAAAACAAAATGGGGCTGCCATTAGACGCTGTTTAGTGATTTCTTGTTTCATTGAACAAAATAATGAATTCTATATATGAATGAAGTTACTACAAATGTAATCTAGACTTTAATGAGAAGTTAAGGCTCAACCTAATTTATGTTTTAGATCAAATTGATGATTATAACATATTTTTTAAGGTATTTTTTGGTCGCCATCCCTATGCTTGCCTAGAAAGTGTCTCTTCAAATGGTGCTTCTCACGGAACGCCAGGTGGCAGATGGAACATTTGTAGGGGCGTTCGTCCGTGTGGCGTCTGCGATGCTTGGCCAGGTTATTGTTGTCCGTAAATTTCTTGGGGCAAAGTGGACATGTATAAGGCTTCTCGCCCGTGTGAGTGCGGATGTGCGAATTAAGAGCGTACTGTGAACGGAAGTTGGAATCGCAGAGCGGGCAGGAGTGTGGCCGCTCACCCTTGTGCGCGAGAATATGCACCTTGAGAGCCGACTTATTAAAGAACGTTGAGCTGCAGTACGAGCACTTGTGTGGGCCGGTGCCTTTAATCGACTCTTGGTGGATCAACAGGTGGGCCTTAAGGTATCGGTCTTTGCTAAAGGTCTGTGGGCAGTGGGGGCATTGGAAGGGCTGACTCTTCATCTCCTGACACTTGTGTTTGTCAAGGCTCTGGGTATTCGAAAACACCATCAAGCAAATGGGGCACTCAACAGTGGAATCGCTGGTTTGATAACACTGGTGCTTATCCAGATCGGTTTTGAAAAGAAATCGCTCTCCGCAGTTTTGACATACGTGGGAATTGTTATGAATTCTGCAAAAAAAGAAGCAAATTGTAATACAAACGTGAGTCTATGAATAAAGACACTACTTACTTCATGTGCTCCAGTAGGTTTTGTTGGTGCTTGAACTCCTTGGTACAGAGTTCGCACTTGAACTTCTCCACTTTTCGCTGTTTTCTAGGTTCTTTAGTGACCTTTAATTTTGTGTTGTTCTTTTTGTTGGCTGTATTAGACGATTCTTCTTTTGCAGGTGGCTGTGGGGAAGTTTCCTCTATGAACTCAAGCTTCGCATTGATTTCCTCATCTAAGAATTCCTCAAGAATCATATAGTTATCGTTGGGTTCTTCTTTGATGAACTGCTGACCACTGATCACCATGTAAAACTTCCTATGGCTCTCTTCACATCTTCGCTTGAACCCGTATGCAGTTCGTGCATCGTGGACACATGCAATGCAGATTTTTTGGGGCAGGCAATCTTCACGATCCAACTCAACGTTGGCACATGTCTGGATCATTTCGGCAATATTTGGTTCATCTCCTACTACAGAATGCTGCGGCTCCTGCTTGTCGAAAATGCCCACCAAGGACTTGTAGCGGCCACCGCAAATTCGACACAGGTTCTCCATAACGGTATCCGAAATAGATAAGATAATATTAAATCTGTTTGTTGTCTTTTCCTTTCTCTACGACGTAATAGTGATGGACTTTTATAGCGTGACTTCTGCATTCAGATATTTAACATTTTTTTAGGGTGTTAAATGATTCTCGATCTGAAAATGTATTATTTTATTGAATTATTTGAATTCTATTGAATTATTTATTTAAATTAAATAGTTTTTTTAGATACAAAGTTTATATCTAGGCGTGGAATTGCTTTTTTAACTTAATTGTATATTAAAATACTAACTATCGATAGGTGTCCGAATAATCGCTTATCGAAAATCGCGCGGGTTCTAGCTCTAATCAAATATATTTGTTTTATATATGTGGTTTTTTGAGTGTTTTTGTCATAGCTTTGCATAAAAAGTTTAAACAGAAAAGAAGCCGACTTTTGTATACTGCTGGCACTTAACTACTGACCAGAATCAAATCAACATAACGTATATTTTTTATAAAGCGGACAACCTAACTAGTGTCCAAAACCGTTTCAAAAAACTAAATTTTTTACCATTTTCAGCATTTTTTTTTTGAGGTGAAAAATACCTTTTACCCTATTTACTTATATTTTTACTGATCCAATCACATTACAGAAACTATAGAAACTTCAAATGTCTTGAGTAGCAAAGCGTTAATTTTATTTTCCACAGTTCCGCGTCGATGCCCTTTTAACTTAATATAAATATTAACGGAAAATTCAGTTACTTGTTGTTATCTTGATAGCAACCATGAGCAGACTGAGTGTGAATATTATTTTAACCATCATGTTGTTCTTCCTTATATGGCAGACCTTCATGTATTATTGGACACTTGAAGAAATATGCCACAAAATTAAAGAGCAATTGAAGTTAAATATGAAACAGGTAAAAGGAGTTTCTACAGGAATCATTTCAGGGAAATGTTAAAATGAAGATGTTAAATGTAAACACATATAACCTTTATTAACCTTCAGAATGCTTAATGAAAAACATTGAGCTTAGTCCATACTATTTGTAGTTAGTTTAAGGTGTGACTTTCTATATGTGGATCCGAAAATTGTCCGCTTACTTAGCTTTTTTTCTGTGAGACGAATAAGCTGAATCAAGAAACCGGCTCACCTGCGAGAACGTCGAAGAGAGGTGGCAAAACAGCTCTCCCCTTTTTCAGTTCGGTGCTGTCCGAAATTAAGCCCCGAATGTGACAAAACAACGCTCAGTTGTTGAACTAAAATCGAATCCGACGGTCGCATGAACTTAGGCTTGGCATTCACAAAGGCTAGCCAGTGGACGTACAAACCTTCATTTTCGCACCCTGTTTCGAAGGCCAATCGATTTACCCACAAAAAGCTTAAAGATCTTGCCAAAAGATGTTCAAGCTAGCCACTGCTTTAAGCCTTTTCCTAGTGATCCTCTCCTTTGGCTGGGCAGAACTTGAGGATGAGCCTCGGGAAAAGCGGCAGTCGAATAAGGTTTGCTTGAGTTCTTAAAGAATTATTATTATATTCGGAAAAAACTGTTATAACCAACCTGTTGGTCAGTCATTGAACTTTTTAAATTATTTGTTTCTGAACTTTCAACTTTCAGTATGTATATATTGATTCCTAACTCGAGTTTATGCTGTAGGTAATAATTAATATTAATGAGCGGTGAAATAGATATTAATTTTTGAGTCTGATTCTAATCCGTTGATGTTCGATGCCAACCAAGTTTATCTTAACAGAATCTTTAACATTTTCTGAATTTTCTAACAGTTGCACGTAACGCTGCTCTACGAGTCCTTGTGCCCGGACAGCAGGAACTTCATGCATCAGCTGGGACCAGTTTACGAAGAGTTCGGGGACTACATTGATATTCTGCTGGTGCCCTTCGGCAAATCCCAGTCGGAGCGTAATGGAGCTATCTTCCATTGCCAGCATGGACCTGCTGAGTGCAAGGGCAATCGCCTTCAGAGTTGCGTCATCAACAGCACCGGAGACCAGGCGGCCCAGGTGAAATTCGTGGTTTGCCAAATGTTAGCTCCGGATTATTCCCGCATCGATCAGGTACTTTCACTACAGAGCCGTAGTCTTAGTGTTTGCCCAACTGATTCACGACTGTATTTTGCAAAAAATATATATTTTACCCATCCGTAGTGTGCCAATGAGGCGGGCCTGCTCACCGACGTGGTCCACTGCCTGTCCAGCGAGACGGGAACCAAATTGCAGCTGCAGGCGGAGCTGGTGACCAAAAAGTACAGCCCAAGCTTCATTCCCACCATCGTCTACAATGGCGTAAGTTCCCGCGATCGATCGCAGCCGTAATCGAATGCATTTAACTGGTTTTCTTCGTTTCCACATGCAACAGGTCTTCGATCAGCAGCTGCAGGACCATTCGCTACGCGATTTCCGCGGCACGGTTTGCTATTTGTTGCGTCAACAAAACTTGCTGCCCAGCAGCAGCACAATCTGCCAGTAGATCTGCTAAATGTTCAATGTAACTGCCTCAAGTTTGAAATGAAATTAAAATTCAGAAACTGGTTTCCACAACCGAACAAGAATGTCATGTTTGCCAGGGGGGGAATGGTGTTAAATATATTCACATGTGAAACAAAAAGGTCACAGAGAAAAACCATCACAAAATTAGTCTGGAAATCATTATCAACTAACCAATTTTGTTAATACTCAATTACTGCACACTCCAAAACATCATTCAGATAATAATTTATATTGGTACGTAAGATACAGTTCATCAAATTACAAATCGTGTAAATATATATAGTACATGCAGTGCTTAGGGCGTCTAATTTATTTACAAATGCGTACAATATAAATTCATTATTTTTGGAATAGCAGGGGGGGCACAGATGATGAATGGGAATGGGAAATGGGGAAAATATCGTTAGGTTTTCCTCTCGATGAACCAACAACAAATGACTTAACGACTAAGTGCTAATGGCTAACCTATAACTAGGATTTCAATTTCTTGCACTTTTGTGTTTTGCTATTTATGGTCGCTGACGGGTGTGCAGAAATAACAATTTGTAGACGGGTTCCGTTGTGATTAAAGCATTTCCCTCAGACTGCCGTGCCCGGAGCCTTGCCAGCGGATGAGTCCGCTGAGGCGACGGTGGCCGCATTGAGGCTAAGCGAACGACGTGGTGCCGGCTTTGGTGGAATCTTCGGCTTAACAGTTGCAATCTTGGCCAGAGTTACGCTTGCCTCGCTAATGAGCGGCTGTTGCACGTGTCTCTCCTTCTCCTGAAACTCCACATAGCCACTCTCATCGCTGTCGGAGTCTTCAGCCGGATGGTCGCTCCTCTCCTGTTTGTTCAAGTCATCGCTGCCGGAATTGCTGCGCTTCAGCGTGATGCTGCTGGAGCTGCTGTAATTGGTGGCATCGCCGCTATTGTTCCGCAGCTGCTGCTCCAGTCTTTGGTAGATCATCATTTGCTCCAGCACCTGTGCCTGCTCTAGCTCCAAGTCCGGCGACTGCTCTAGCTGACCGGGATCGCTGTTCCGCTTGCTGTGGTACTCCTCGTGATTGGCATTTGTGACTGTGCTGGCAGTTTCGCAGCCACTGGATATGGATCCCTCGTCGCTGTCCGGACTAGCCAGACCCTGTTGAGCGGATCCTCCGCCCGCTGCTGCCGAAGTACTGGCCGTTGTCGAGCTGGACGCATTGGAGGAGATCGATGACTGAGCCTGGTGGCGGTACTTAAGGTTGGCCTGATCGCCAGCTCTCATCTTCCTCATCGAACTGCGGTGTAGCATGGTCAGCATGGCCGCATGCCGGAAGTAATGATCATCGGCATCGTCCATGAAGTCCTCTTCCCCATCACTGCAGACGCCATTGCGACGCGTTGCAGGCACATCATGATCCTCAGAGTTGTAGTCCGCCTCTGGATCAGCGCTGGGATCGCTGTTGATGGTGGGCAGCAGACTCAATGGCTCGCCCTCCTCCTCCTTCAGATCGCTGAGGCTCACCATGCTTTGGCTGCTGTTCTTGTGGAGTTGCATGTCGAAGTACGGCAACAACTCGTTGCTCAGAGTTGTATCGAACTTCAGAAGCTTCTCAAAGTCATCGGAATCAGAACCATCGTTAGCTGGACTGCTTGCAGCCACCATCTTCTTGGGCAACTCCTCTTGGGGCAGCTCCTTTGCCATATGCGAACTGCAGCAGGGCGAGAATGCCTGAATCTTGCCCGTTCGCCGAATGGAGTGTCCACGACGACAACGACGTCTGCCCAGTGTCATGGCCGGATAAAGGGAATCCTTTTGACAGCAGGGCATCATCTCTGGTTCATTGGTGTCCTCGATCTCATCGCCCTCCTCCTCGCCAATGGCCTCTTCGATGGCCATTAATTTGGGCGCCGACTTGGAGCGTTCCAGTGGCGGTCGGTAATTGTTGCCGCCCACGCTCAGCATGATCTTGCGGCGCGGCAAGCTCGGATTGTCGTAGACGGCATTGGCCAAACTCAAGCGAGCGTTTTGCTTCAGAATTTTCTCACGTTTAAATTCGCGCAAAGCGCTATCTAGGTTTTCCTGGAAAATAGGAGAAAAGTTTAAAAGTTAGAAAGGGTTTAGGTAAAATAATATTTAGAGATAGTATCTGCAGGAATGAAATATGATAAATTTGAGCTTTTGGATTTGTCACGCCTTACAAAAGAGTGTACATAATTGCAAAAAAAAACCCCTTGATAAAAATAAAATGTTTGTCATGGTTTTTCCCGCTCTTGACTTGAAATACAGAACCACTTGACTTTAATCTCTTCATTTATATAAAGATTTATGTAGGAGCTAATGTTAAAAATTTAGTCATAACCCACTCTTGCAGGACTCCAAAGGGAAACCAGAACTTACTCTCAAAGTATCGCATATGTCCTGGGCGATCTTCTCCTTGCTGCAGAGCACCGCATGACAGCGTAGCTCGTGCTTTAGCTTTCTGCCCTCGTGACGATAGATCCAGCAGAAGACCCGCGGATAGTTCTTCGGTGCACAGCAGTAGGTGATCCTGTGGGCCCAGTACTCCGTCAGGCCGTGCTGCCGGGTGGTGGCTTTCAATCCCGAGGCACAAACCTTCAGTCGCATTATCACGTCTGGTTTGGAGTGCTGGGTATAGTTCCGCCACAATGTGTTCAGCTGCTTCTCCACACAACCCTCACCTGCTAAAGGTACAACATTAGTATGGATTCCTTAAGTTCGGAGGTTCAATAAGCCCAACTCACCCTTGGCCCAGCCTGTCAGGACATTCCCCAAATAGGAAACCTTAAACTCCGGATCCGGAGTGCTGATATCAACGCTGTGGGTGCGTCGCCAGAGTTTACCCAAACTCCGGGTAAGCGTGCGAATGGCCTTGGAACTCAGCTGATCGTTCTGGTCATGACCACCAGTTCGACCTACGTGCTCCTGCCGGCTGCCGTAGAGCAAGTCTCGGGAGTCCGTTGTCAAGGTTATGACATTTGTGACCCTCACAGAGTCATCTTCGCCGGCTACATCGCCGTCCTCTTTGGACACCCGCTTGAAACGCTCTAGATAGGGACCCGCTCGACCACGCCTTCCACTGTAAGTGTTAAACTTGCCTCCCTCCGAACTGGCCAGACGCTTCTGCTCCTGCTTCTCGAACTTCTTGGCATTGTAGGTATTGCCCAGCAATCTGGCCAAGCTGTTGCTCTTCACGAACTTGTGCTGTCGCGGCGGCGTTCCAATTGGCACCGGCGGCAGGGGCGCCTGGGACGTAGGCGTGGTCGTCGTCGGGGGATTCTCTTTGCTGACCGTTTCCTGGTTATCTTGTGACTTGCTCTGACTCAGCTTCTTGCTGCTACTGCTGCCAAAATGAAAGAGGGTACGACGCTCCTTGGCCTTTTTCAGGGTGTTGCTGTTTGGTTCGTTGTTTGGTGTTGCTGCTGTGCATGTTGCTGGTGTTGCTGTTGCTGCTGCTGTTGCTGCTGCTGTTGCTACTTTGGTGTTGATCACCGCTTGACTCACGCTGCTCAAATCCTCATAATCGTTGTTATTGTTGTGAGTGGCCACTATGAAGTCAACCTCATCACAACCCTCCGAACTGTGCTCCATCGAGGATTTGGTGTTGCTGGCTGCCATTTTTGGGTAGTGTTGCTGATGTAACCAATCAGTAAGCGTTGGTTAAAAGCATGTTATAGAAGATCTGAAAGGCAAATAAGGAGGTAAGTTAATAACTTTAGATTAAGTTATAGAAAAAATAAACTAAAAAGGGAAAAATTGGACTGCTTAATGGCTTAATAATTCTTTTTGGGTTTCACTTTTGGGAAAATTATCTGAATTAGCATTTCAAATTAAGCTCCCGCTGATTATTTTTTAAAAATAATGAGTAATTATTTTCAATAATTCATGTTTAACTTCAAGCTTTTTCTCAAAATAATTCCAATGATTCAATTATTTGTTGTTTTTCCCTTTTTTTATATATTTATTTTTAAGTCAGTGCTTCCGTTTTTTAAGGGAATCACAAACGTTGTTCTATAAAATTAATTTTCAAGTCTTAAATTTAATTTTCATTCCCTTTTACTAGCATACCTTTGTTTTAAGTTTGTAATAAACCAACTTTTACTATCTAATTTATGAATGAGTGTTAGGAGAGGCTAAATTTGACGACATTAGAGCCACACTTTCTCCCATCATCCACAGCCACAATTCGCATTCCCAACATTATCGCCAATTCACACCCGATTCCGAGTGTATTTTTCCGCAACTGCGGCCAAAAAGTGTCAACTGGCTAATAAATTACCTCATGATTAACACTCAGCACCAGCTGTAAAATTTTTTTTTTTTACCTTTAAGTCGTTTTTTTTTTGTTTTCTTTCGCACAGTTTACAATATGCAAATGTTTACGGTTTTATAATTACTATTTTTTGTACTGCACTGTTTCTGTTTTCCATGTTAGTTGCTTTTCTGGAAAATGCCACACAGCCTTTGTGCACTTAACATTTTCACATTATTTGGATAGCGAATTGTTTGCTAAAAAGCCAGCTAAAGATGCAACTATCAAGAGTCATTAAGTACGAGTATTAAATGCCTGTGAAAAGCACTTAAACGTCGCAATTATGGGGCGACAAAGTCACTTTTCCGTTTCGTTACCTGACTAAATTTAGTCGCCGAGTAGCGTAATTAAAACACAATAACGTTAGTCAACTCTTTGGCACTGAAGGTCCGAATATGTTCTAATGCTTTAATCACTCAGTTACCTGGTCGATTGACGATTAAAGGCCCTGTTAACCAGCCAACCGACAACCTCCAAGATCCATCACTTTCAAGTTGGTCTAATCGCAACGAACTGTGTTAGCAAAATGCAGGCGCGTTCCTGGTTATCTAATCGCATTGGGGTTCTGATTTTCATTTTTATGACCAACTATAAACCAGCAGACAGTCGTGCTCGTGATTTTCAAATATAAATATTAAGTCTCGTTCTGGGGAATGGAATTTATGGTAATTTACGGCCAAGTGGCCAGCAATTGCCAGGCGTAGCGAATTCATAGGAAGTTTATAAGTCAACAAACAATACGCGATACTTGATACTTAGATACTTAGATACTTCGATACTTCGATACCACCGATACGTTATGGATATTAGCCAAAGCAAACTATGTGGCCCAGCCTCTCGGTCTCGGACAAAAGGCAATTGGTCAGGTCTATGGCCATATCATTAAACGTTTTTTTTTTCTTCTTTCCGTTTCTATACAATGACCTTGGCTATCTGCAGGTGTCTTTGGGGAGTCGATAAAGTCACTGGCTTTCACTTTTTTCCAACTCCAACCCACCTCCCCCTTTATGCTCATCAGTTATGTTAATGCAAATGTCAACCCAAGAGCCATTCGAAGATGCCCAACGAATGTGAGAAAGCCCAGTAGTCATCGACTGACCATTGGCCACCACCCCCTACCAGCTCAATGGGCTCCCTTGGGGCCAATGACTCTGCCACTCGTTTTCTCCCAAAGCCAAAGAAAGCGGGCTGAATTTGTAAGAAAAGGTAAACAAGTAAGAAAATATATTAAAAAAAAAACTTAATAATTGTTTTGTAGAGGCCCTGCCCTGCTCCGCCCATTATCATTTATGCTTCTGCCTTGGAGACTTGAATGGTCTTTCCCCTTTGTCCATAATTGCAAGTCTCGCACTGTGCGTGAGCGCGCATTTTAAACACCCAACTGACATTAAATGAAATACAAAAAAAAAAATAATATCATTTAAAAGAAATACGGAAAAAAAAGAGCGGACAAAAAGCGTAATGAGGAAGTGTTGCCGTGCTGCCATGTGGACAATTTCAGTTTTGGTGTGCAAAATTTTAATATCACACACTGGCGGATGCCAGGGGCGTTTCAAGGCATAGCTGATACTCAAACAGAGAGAGAGAGAGAAATTTAACAACTTCCTCTATAAGTGATGTGATTAGTGGCGAAGAACCCTTTTTTTTTTTGCCAGCTCAATAAATATTTAATGACATGAAAGTGACACTGTAATTTGCTGGCATCATTAATAAAAAAAACTTTTACTTCATTTTCATTTTTTTTTTTTTGCCACTCTTCCTTCCCTTGGTAACAACATCTGTTCGCTTTTGATTGATCATCGTTTTATATAATTAGGTAAACGCTTTTCATTTTATTTATTTGATATTTCTATTTCTGTTTCCAGGCAGTGTGTTCTTTGTGTCCAGTTGGCAACTTTTAAGAGGGAAAAACTGCCCAGTCATTTATCTAAATTTATTTCTTAATCTCGTTTTTCTTGACTCTTTACAGCTAAATTTGATATTCTTAAACAAAAGTTCGGTGTTTCCCAGGCTGCTTAAGATGCAAAAGCAACAAAAACAACAAAAACAAAAATATTTGTTTAAAAACCAAACACTTGAAAGTTCTCAATAGGCCAAAAGCTGAGCCGCTGAGTTGAGCCGAAAATGCAATTTATTATGGTTAAGAGCGCTGGCCGACGAGGGCTTACAGAAGAGTTACAGTAAGGCTTCTTTAAAAGAGATTTTAGGTAACTTCAAATAAGTTAAGTTTTCTTATGGAAAAGAATGATTTTTGCATTTATTATTCACTTTAGGAATATTTTTAACTGGCTTTGAGTTTTATTTATAATTTATTTTAATTTTTTTTTTATTATATTTTCCTTATCTAGAAGCCCTACTTTAATTGCAGGTGCAACGTTTGGCTGCTGCTGGCGGCTTGTCTAGCATAAACTGTGTCAACTGCAAGTTTGAAAAGTTGATTCTAATGTTTGCTCAGTGTGGGCTCCGCTCGCACATAAATATCAATTTAGCCATGGTTGGGTCTCTGTGTGTGGTTTTTCTCCTCTCCCCTAACCCCCTTTACAGATTTTGCCCCCCTTACAATGCTTACAATGCTTTGCTGCTGAGATCTCTGACTGCGGCTCCAAGGCACCCAAGAATGTCTCAAAATAAATACGAAAAAAGTGACTCGCAACAAAATTAAACAGTTTCGCAATTCGTATTCGTTGGTTATTTTTTTTTTTTTTTTTTTTTACTTTTTACCTCCTTTTTTTTTTGGGCATGTGTGTCATGAGCGGTTGCTGGAGGAGATCGGCGGGCGGGGAAAGGGAGGAAAATCCGGAGGAGGAGTCATATAGAGAGTAAGCTGAAAGGAAGCCTTTCAGTCAGTCATCTGGGTACGTGCGAACGCCTTGGAATGCATTTAATTGAGCAAATGAATAAACTATAATGTATGGCATAAATTTGTATAGAATTGCATTCTCGTTAATTGATTGGCAGCGCACACCTTAAGAATGATAGAAAACCGGGTTTGGGCCAGCATCGTTATTTGTTGTTATGCAGTTAGATGAAGGGGAAGTCTGGGTGAGAAACTGGGGAAAATTCTTGCATTCTTGCAGGTACATTGGAAAACATTAAGATTGCTTAGAAAGCAAGAGTGAAAATGTGTAATAATCTTAAGTCTTCTTTCTTGCAATTTAAATAAGTTTTTAATAGTAACTTAAAAAGAATTTCATTTTAAGGCACATATCCTTGAGAAACACAGGAAAATTCTTGCATTCTTACAGGCAGATTGAAAAATTAAGATATGTTAGAAAGTAAGGGTGAAAATGTTTAGTTTAGCCACAAATTAGATGAGAAAATTAGAATATTATGATATTCTTAAGTCTTCTTTCTTGAAATTTAAATAAGTTTTTAATAGTAACTTGAAAAGAATGTCAAGGCACATAGCCTTGAATTGATCATAAAAGATACGGGTTCTTGGTGAGAAAACACAGTAAAATTCTTAAATTTTTGCAGGTAGATTGAAAAAATTAAGATAACTTAGAAAGCAAGAGTGAAAATGTGCCAAATCTGCTAGTTTATCCTCAAATTAGATGAAAATATCATTATACCTAAGTCTTGTTTTGCAATTTTAATAAGTTATTAATGGTAACTTGAATAGAATTTCATTTTATACCTCATAAAACTGCCAGTTTTCTTAACAACTCAAAGCTAATAACCCAATGATCTTAACTTTTCATATTTAATTTTTAGAGACATTAACATTATGTGCCTTGAATGTACCCTAAAAGATAGGGGCTGTCAAATGAATTTCTAAAAATACTTGATTCGCATAATGGCAGCCATTAGAAACAATCACACATGCCCATCAATTCGGATTACAAACGCGTAGCCGACGACTCTGCCACAGCCTTCCTCCGTTTTAGAAACAAATTAAATATTCAGTTCTCATCTTACAGTGAAACAAAAGAACAAATGACATTGAGTTTACTTTTTTTCTTTCTGTTTTTTGCTGAAACGAAGATAAAGAAAAATTCCCTCGAATTGAGAGTCTTAAAACTCGAAGATCTTAGAAGACAATTAATAGTGTAAAAGCCCCCACAATTTGCTTTAATTTTGTTTATAGACAGATAGTAAAGTAAATTATGCCATAAAGAGAGACAAAGTGAGCAGAAGGAATACAAAAATATATATATGTCTTTAGTGTCGGTCATCAGAAGTTAACAAGATTTACGAGAGTATGCCTCGGTTTAATGGGGTCTCTGGCTGAGGGATCGCCGGCTTTAATGGGGGCTCAAAAGTTTAGCCAACATTGCCACTGCTACTGCCACTTTTTTGTTGGGCTAATTGAGTTGAAGTAGCCGCAGCAGGTTTTTCATTTTACAAATTATATATTTCCTTTTTTTTTA